ACCGCACGCAGTGACAAGGCATGCAGTTGTGGCAAGGCTAAGATGCGGCCAGGGCCTCCCCTCAGTCAAAAGGCAGATCTACAAATTCTGCAGAAGGTTTTATCCCACCCTGAGGTTTCCCTTACTGGTAGCATCACGGCAGCATTGCTGTTTGTAGGTTCGCTTTGCACTTAGGAATGCACCGATGACAGAGGTGGCAGCTTGTGGCTGTGTCTCAAACAATATCAAATGGTTTTTATCTTCTGTCCTGTTCTCTCCAAATTTCCCTTTCCTTTCCAGGTGGCCTTGGCCCTGATTCAAACCACCAGTATTCCTGGTGTGACTCTGTACCCCCTCAGATAGCAGCCAGGTTCATGTACTTTGTCTAAATATTGGACTTCCTACTGGCGCCATCAGAGACAGCGTACTGGGTGAGACAGGCCGCTGGTCCGACTTACTGCTGCATCCCTTATGTTCTGTGGGGGCACCTGGGGAAGGCAGGATTTCTTTCATCTCAGTTGCTTTCAATCTATGGAGATTTTTGTTGATATTCTGGCCAAAAGCCCAAAATGCCATCTTTCCCTTGTTGGGAAATTGAAGGTATCAAACCCAAGGGACTTCAGCTGAAACACTGAGTTTTAGAGGAGTCAGAGGTCACTGCGGTGCTCACAGGCGGTGCGATTTAGCTGTCCCCTGCTCCCTGGACACTATAGGCTGCTACAGGCTCTTGGCTGAGTTCTCCCCTCAGCCAGCATCTCTCACGGTTCGTCTCACCAACTCACCCTGGGAGAGGCAGTCCCAAGCAGGAACCTCAGTTCAGAGAGAATGAGAATGGAAGTCAGATGAGCTACATCCCTTGGGAGCACTTCAGATCTGAAATATTTCAGATTTAGTTGAGAGTGCTTTGATTTTTCACCCCAAACCAACCACCCGATCGTTCCTGCAGAAACGTCCTGTACGCTTCCCCTCTGCTCCTTTCACTGCAGTGCACTTTTTGGGGGGGCAAAGGACCACTGCCTAATCTGGCTTACCCTCTTGAGTAACCCACTCCCTGTATTTGAGGGAGTATACTGTTGGCCTGTCTCCAAGTGGCACTTTGCATTCCATCCTGATGCTTCACTAAGCAGCAAACCAAGGCCAAGGACTCACTTCTCCAGATTGCCCTCCAGACAGAAGGTTCCAAAACACTTAAGGAGACAGAGGAGTGATAGGGCTGGCTACGCTTTGTCTACACAAGAAGACTTTGTCTTAGTTTTTAATGGACAGTGCTTGCCTGCTTGAACTTGAACCAGGGTGCAGCAGAGCTATGTGTTGTCCCCCAGTATGTGTACTCCTGCCTGGTCAGAGAAATGGTCTCCACACAGATAGGAGTCTGCCATGTTTATCGGTAGGCTTTTTTGTGCTGAAGGCTGCTATGGTGATTGTTATTCGTGGTTACTGTTGGCGTGGCTTGTTATTTCTCCTCGTCCGTCATCCCAGGAAAAGGAAACTCAGTCCACTGTCATCAGTGCAAGG